TTAGTTACTTACAAGAATATGTTTCCTAGATTGAACAACGAAATATCTAGAAACAAACAATTCAGATATAAAAGATAGACAGTCCTCAAAAACCTTAGAGATCTACAGAATATGGCATTTAGAGGATTTTATTAATTAATTTATTTTTTACATTGAGACAGAGCTGCTCCTGGCAACACCCTCAATTCACTTCAAAGAGCATTAAACAACCTCCATATGGAGTTTGTTTCAAACATGGCAAGTTAGCTACTGAGCAAAAAAAAACAAAACAAAAAAAAAACTGCCCTTGCTTAAACTGTAGACAAAATGCTGTCCAAACTAGACAAACTGGAAGCAGGAAAGTTGACTATCAAACTTCGCTTGGAAAAGGTAGGCAAGACCTTCATAATTCCAGCTTTGCAAAAAAGTCTGTCATATAATATACTGGGCCAGAAGGCTAAAGATGGATGCTTCAACATAATATAGAAATTTGGGGTAGCTGTTCAGTCAGCCAGCTGTCTCTTTGATTTCTATAGTTTTGGAAGATGCTTGCTCTGCACTCCCTGCATGCTCAGCTAATATTTATTTCTTCTTACATCTCTGGTGGGGTTGAATACTAGATAGTTAAGAGTCTCGCAATTTAGTTACTTGGGATTTACAAAAAATGTTTATATATACACACACACATATATATGTCTAAGTCAATTTTTAAGTTGATTGCAAGCTATGATAGAAAATTATTTAAGAACAGAACTCTGAACTTACCAAGATTAGACAGTAGGATAATTTCTCAAAAGTTGCTAGATAAAAATGGACTGGACGTTATGAATGTAATTCTTACCTGATAGTTTTAATAATTGTTCTTATTGTATATAGTTTTTTGTTGTAAGGAAAGGAGATTTTGTTGGAATAAAGGGGGAGATTTTGGAGGAGGGTCTTGTGCACTGTGTATTCAGATGCTGATTTCTGTGCCCTGAGATCTGGTTACGTTCCAGACTTGGGCATTGTTGTGAATATTGAACCATCTCCTGTGTCAATGTGGTATGAAAAATGGTCCCTAATTATCTCTGATTGGTTAATCAAAAGCTGAACAGCCAATGACTGGGCAGAGGAGACAGGAAGGCTTGACTTCCAGTCTAAGCCAGGGGTCCAAGAGAGAGGAGAAGGGGGAAGAAAGGGGTCATGAAGCAAGTGAAGAAGATGGTCACCATGAAGATGGGAATGAGGAGAAGTGCCAGGGAGTTCTCCATGAGGACAAACAGCTACAGAAGAGCAAGCCAAAGCGAGACTAAACACGTAACTCACGGAATGTGGCAGGAAAGCTAAGATAACAGAGGGTTAGCAATTCTGTTATTGTGATTAAAGCTTGTTGGATAATTCTGTGGGTCTCCAACTCAATTATTTAGGAGATGGCCAGGTTAGAAACAACTGCCACTTTTAAATTTAATCCTTCGTAAACACTACCGATTAGGAGATTAATTTCTTTTTTGTTTCCCTAGACAAACTGTGTAGGCCTGGCTGTCCTGGACCCTTGCTCTGTAGACGAGTCTGGCCTCAAACTCAGAGATCCACCTGGCTCTGGAACCAGGGCTGGGTATAAGGGCTTGTGCCACCACCACCCAGCTGGGAAATCAATTCTTAACAAATGAAAATTGCTCTAGAAAGGTATGGTCACCATGTACAAGAGACACAGGGTTGCCACCCCTGGGATATGACCTGGCACAGAAATCTCAGCATCCACCCAGGTCTATGCAGAGAGGCCATGGGAACAACTTTAACCAAAGTGGGTGATTGGCAGAACCGGTGTTAACTGAGGCGTCACCTCCTCATAAGGAGCGCCCCTCTGTCTTGGCTGTGCAAGGCTTATGGTGTAGCCATTCCTGTAGCAAGCAGAGAAGGATGCTGTGAGGCTCATATTTCAAAACACTTGCCAGTCCCCCACCCTGCATTCATATTGACTTATTCCTCAGTGGTACTGTAAGGGGCCTTCAGTCAGCTTCCTGAAGACATGCAAAGGGTTTCGCACTCACATCTGCAGTGTGGCCTGCCCGACTAAGCACCTACAGGTGATCCACACAGCATAGCAGCTCCTGTACTAGATGTTAGTATTTGTACTTAAGAGACTAAAACAATGTTTTTTCTTTACTCTTACTGATCAGCCTTATAAGGTGAAATAAAACATATGCAGTTGGAATCTAGGGCCCTGATTCATTGGGGGTTTTACTGTAACCAAGACTGTAAATGATTTTTCTTTTTTACAAAGTATTTCCTGGTGACAAAAAGGTTCTTAGTAAACTCGAATTGTTAATTAGTTGCTTCTCCTCCTTTCCCTCTTGTCTTAGGTCAGATTGTCCTTCCTGACCCAGGAGTGTGAGGATCTGCCCTGGATTATAGACTGGTTTGTGCTGCTCTCACAGATTCTCCAGGGCTGTATCTCAGATCAAGAACAGAGTTTTTTTCTTACAGCTCCAGGGCTCTGAAGGTCAGGGGTCAAGGAGGGTCTTACTGTGTCATCTGATGGGGGGGGGGGGCACAATGATGTAGGGAGAGCTGGGGTTCTGGCATCCACAGGGTGGCTCACAACTTCTCAGGTTCCAGGCCTCTGATGTCCTCTTCTGACCTTGCTTAGAATCCACCAGTGATGGGCTGGGGGGCGTGGCTAAGCAGTAGAGCATGTATCTAACAGTTGAAAGCTCCTGTGTTCAATGCCAACTCAAAAAGAAAATACTGGGACTGGAGCTCTTGCTGCTCTGGCAGAGGACGCATGTTGGTTTTCCAGTGCCCACACTGAGAGGCTCACAACCGCCTGTTAGTCCAGTTCCAGGATCTTATACTCTCTTCTGGCCTCTGAAGACACTGCATGAAAAGTAAATGTGAAAAGAAAAAAAAATCTTCCTTGAATTCTACTGGCTTTAGGCAGGTTGTAATTTAGTCTGGATTTTAATAACAGAAAAAGTCTCTGTAGCTTTGCACGGGAGGTCAGGATCTTTTGATGGAAATTTCCCCCAAAATAATTTGAACACTACTTAAGTGGACTCAATAATATGTTGGCAATGAAACAGAAAACAAATGAACTGGCATACAGCATGACAGAAATTACTCAACCCAAACCACAGACAAAGAATAGGCTGAAAATGTATTCCCAAACCACAGGTGATGCCACACGCCTTTAATCCCGGCTCCCTGTGGTTATTTGTGTGTTCTCCTGTCTCGCTGATCAGGTGGGAAGGTATCCAAAACACAACTCTGCAAATCTGCAAATCTGAGTGCTGGGAAGGCATCCGGGCTCTGAGGTGGAACAGGGTATTCTGAGGCACAGGAGTCGCCGGGAAAAGTTACCCGGTTCCCTGATGAGCTGAGGAGCCTGGCTCTGCTCCGTCTTCATTTTTTCTTTCTTCTTTTTTTTTCTTCCAACAAGTGAGTTACAGCACGCAGTAAACCCCTTAAATGAGACTTCCTGCCTCAGCTCCCAAGAGAAGGCTGCGGGGGAACTTGGACAAACGTGGTCTTTATATGGGCACTCTCAGGGGTGGCGCTTTCTGGGGCAGGGATTTCCAGAATGTGGATTGGTGGCATTTCAAGACCTAAACTGTGGGGAGCTCAGGGATTGGCGGGATTTCCTGCTCAGGGATTGGTCAATTATCCTGCTCAGGGATTGGTGGGTTTTAATGGGAAGCTCTGGGATTGGTAGTTTTTCTGCAATTGGTGCGTTTTGTCCAGTCTTTTCACCTCAAATTTGCACAGTCTGGGCTTAGCCCTACTAGAGATCGAGGTGACAGTTACGAAGGTCTGGGGGAGGGCGTTGGACTGCTGGAGCCTCCTTAGGCAGAGGTCTGGCCGCTTTCTGCCTTGAGGGTTTATAAAGTCCACAGAGAGTCCAAAATGAAGAGTCCACTGTGAAGGTAGCAGACTGAAAAAAGGTGTCCTGTTCAGGTAGACTGAGGCAGGAGAGTCACCATGGATCGCTCCCACTGAGGCCTTGCTGAGAAGTTGCCTTCTGCCTCCACAGCCCCAAGGCAGGAAGGAGGGTCTGATTGCCCCGAGGCTGGAAGGGGAAGTGGCCTCTTGCGACTTGGTATTTACTAGCTTTCGGGTTCCCTGCTGCTACAAGGGGGAGGAGAGGCAGTGGGACACCACCAAATGGGTGGCATCAGGACGGATTGGAATTGCCTCAGCCTGCAGCGTCTGTTGCAGCGAGCTTGGGGTGGCAGGTTGCATCAGCTCATCCTTAGAGTCCAGGTCAGTCTTCGAGTTCAAGGCCAACCTGTTCTACAGAGCAAGTTCTAGGACAGCCAGGGCTACGGCAGAGAAACTGCCTTGGAAGAACCCAAAACAACAACAGTGTATCCATTTGTCCATCTGTCTCCAGTGGTCTTTCATGGCATTCACAAATGAACAAAGAAAACCCAAAAAGTGATTTCCACCGAACTCGCTCTATTTAAAACAGCTTGAAACTTAAGAGCGTCTTAGCTTTCTCGGGAACGCAGTCGCGGTAACACACCGGAGAATGTACTTCCGGTTAGGCATTCTGGGAATAGTAGTTCCACCATGAACGGTGGCCAAAGTTGCTTCCGCTCGCTCCAGGGTCCGCTTCCTGCCAGAGCTCCTGGTGAG